GCGCCAATTGCGGGAAGGAAGGTTTTTCAACTCGGCGAGAAAAATTTAGATAAGGATTGTTTGCAGAAACGGCAATCTAGCGGCTCTTATCGAGCCTCCACTTGTTGTTAACGCTGATAAGACTTGCTGGAACGCGGCCGGAATTCTTTGTTCCGTCAATTATCGCGGCGCGAAAATATTCTGCAAAGCGACCAATAATCGTTCGGGACTCACCTTGATGTCGAGATGAGCAACGTTCAACGAATGCAGGAACGCTATTCCGTCTAAAATCTGCTTCAACAATCTGGCCACTTGTCGTTCTTCCGGAACTTCGTCTCTATCCAATATCATTTGTAATTCACCGCCGGGTGCCCTTTGAATGAAATAAAAAAAAATTATTTAAATCAAATAAAATAATTTTCACGTTTAAAACTTATGATAATTTAATTGAAAATAAATTTTTTTGAAAATAAAACTCATAAATTATTGCAAAAAATTATTTTTCTCTTGTTGAGAATAAAAATGTCGGATAGTCGTTCTTAGAGAACAAGTTTCGAGAGTTTTAAATGTATTTACACGAATACGATAACGATAAGTTTTCTAGAAATTTGATTTGAAGATTTGAAGAAAATTATTATTTCTGCGAAGAATCGGTATGACTTACAATTCCAAAACCAGGACCATCTCCGTGTTCGTTTCGAAGACTTGGTGTAAGGATACCAGGCGGGAACAATTCGCCGCAGCATCCAGCACCGCGACTTCGTGAAGCGCTTCCGCTCTTAATTCCTGCGCTCGTCTCCTCTTCCGTAGAAATTTTGCGGCCCATTGTCTTCCGCTGGATCTCTCTCGACATCTCTTCACTGTCGCGTATTTACCCCTGCAAATGAAGAATTCTTAAATTAGAAAAAGTCTAGGAAAAATTGTGAAAATGCATATGGATCGATATGCATCTCAAATTATTCTTCAAATGTCTATACTTTGATATTAATTCTTACCTTTGAATACATTGAACCAATAAAATAGCATTAAATTGTTGCAAATGAATGATAATAAGTTTAATTTTGCTTTTGAATATACAAATATATTTAATTTGAATCAAATCTTGATTAATATTATTTTCAATTTAATATTATTTTCTATAACTATAAATGCCAATATTATAAATTTAATCATTTCATTTGCAACTAATAACTTGTAACGTCACAATGAATCGATTACTTCAAAAAATTTTTAAATTATTTTATTATATAGTAAATGAGTAATATGTGAGTATATTCGAGGCCTTTAATTATTACCGATTCAATAAAATATTCTATGGGTCAAAAAATTCATCTAAATTGTCTGACGAACGATATTTCGATGATCCGTTTTGAAATTACTTGCTGTAACCTGATGATTATAACCTCTAGAAAGCGAAGTTGCGCGGCCAACGCTCTTGCCAAGCCACTCTTTCGATCCTTAGCTCTTTCGATCTCTAAGTCTTAAGAACAACGGTGAAAGCATCGCCGTTAATCGCACGAGCCTTGTTTCTTTTTATAACAGGGCCGTTTTTCCATTGCGCGAACGACCCGTGTTTGGGAACGTGTGTCACGAGTTCTGGAAGAACTTGCTTGTACAAAGGATCGATGAAGCGAAAGAATCGACAAATGAACATCGTTGTTGGAGAGTATATTAGAAAATCATTTTTAACCGAATATTATTTTAAATCAACGCATTTTTTTGCTTTTTGAATATAATTCTATAATGGAAAATGAAATAAAACAAATTGAATTTTAAATTGAAAAATATATAACCTATTATTCTTTACATACATACAAACTTTTGTTCAAATCAAATCAGAATCGAATTAAGCTTAATTTCTCTGTAAAATAATATCCATAATTAAATATATCTATTTTTGTTCAAGCAATCATCGTGGTTATTTCGCGTGAATACTTCCGAGCGGAAAGTATGTTGCACGTCGATTTAATTATCGACGAGCATAAAACTATTAACGGCTAGATTGATTTTGCAGTGGGAAAAATTTTACGACACCGAATAGCATGAGATCATCGATGCAATTATTAGTGGTATTAACCTGGATCGGCCAGATTACGTAGGGAGCACATACCATGGACAAAAATCTGTGATACCTTGGCCGATAAAGTCCTTACACTGTTCGCGTGCGTTCCATTTCAGAATTTTTCCAGCCTAGCCAGGTTATCTTCGCAGCGTTCCAAGTATCAACATCGATGCTTTTCACTCGATAAACTGGTCGCGAGATCGACGTCGCGGAACGGCTTACTCGTGTCCTGCGATAAGTCTCACCACAAGTTTCTCCGACAAGTGAGAACCACGGTCTAGGTATGTAGGTTGGCAAATACCGATAGAATTGCCAACGATCGTGGTCAGATTGTACCGAATGGAGTTGCGTTATCTACGTTCTAATTACAGATCTATCTGACGTTCCTTCGAGTGTACACCGAACAAAGGGGAAAACAGAACCGTGCTCAATCCTCTTTGATATTAACTATTCGTTTCACGATGAATGACAGGACGAACGAAAGTATAGCGCGGCGAATCTATGGAAAGGAAACTGCTTTGACGAAGGCTTTAACGAGATGGCGCTCTTTAAAGGGAAAGGCAATCGTTCTCGAGCAACGGAAGATCGTGATAATTGGTGGTTATTTGAAGTTTCGTTTATCCAAGAGCTCTAATTTTCAAGCGAGACTCGCCAATAGCATCGAGAATCGCCTCACTATAATTACCGCGTCGCAATCACTGTTTTTATTATATCGAATTTATTTACAGTTGCGCCATCAGGCGGGACAAAATTGCGACTTTTGTTGCATCGCGAGAGGTTAGTTTGCGAGTTTTCCTCGATGAGGAAGTTTTCGATCGGGTCACCGGGAGAAATGCGGACAAAGGCAGGTTTACGTAATAAACGTAAATGCTAGGAAACAAGTTCAGAACTGAAGGAAGTGAACGCAATGTGTACTCGTCGTGGCTGCATTGGTATACACGTGATCTCGATTTCCCTGGTCGAGCCCAGGTCGAACTCCCACGCTCCCTTCTTTCCGCGCACGTATGCACGATTCTCGTAAAGATCGCACGCCTTCGTTCAACAAATCGCATCTACCTTCCACTCTAATTTGTCTTGGAAAACGCAATATATCGGCCGTCTTGAGCAATTCTCGTCGCGATATTACTTTTGATTCGTGCTCGATCTCCTCGCAAGCAACTCGTTTTGTTTTAATTCCGATTCGATGGTTCAAAATATTATGCAACGACGAGTTTATTCGCGCTACGAGAAATTACGCGATCAAAATTACTTTTAAGATTAAAAACAAATTCTAACGAGATATGCGCGGTGATAAGAGAAGCAAAAAAAGTCGAAATTGTATAATAGTATTCGTCTCGTCGAAGTAGCACCTGCAAAAACAGCTTTCGTATATGCTCTACGCCGTGAACGAATTTTATTATTCCCGTAATAGCGAGGAGGCAGCTGCAAACACCTAACAGGTGGTGCGATATAAATCGGGGCCAAAATTTTATGTGCAACCGTTGCCGAAGAGCTCGTTTCTATTTTAACCACGGACGAGATATTTCGCGATGCAATAGCGTTCTTATGCCACGAACGAGGTAACTCGCGAGTTTATTAGGACAAGAATCGATAATGTTATTCTATTCAATAAAGTATTTAGCTATTGATAAAATTGCAGATTTTTTTTTTATATAGAATAATATTCTTTATTAATTCGATAAACGACATTCAAATTCGATATTTTATTTTCGTAACATTTTGTGACGATACTGTTTTACAAAATATCTTGTGCTTAACGAAGATACAAAATTCATTCTCTATAGAAAGAGAAACATTATTTTCGAAAGATAGATCGAAACTTTTGTGCGTTTCTCGCGAGAATATGTCTCACAGAATCAACGTACAAATCGCTCGAGCGAAATGGTGAGGTTATGAAATGCAATGAATTTTAAACAGTTTAAATCCGAATTTGATCGAAATATATTAGCTGAGAAAAACAAATTTGAATCAAAATCTAATGAGAAGTCTTGACTATGCCTCTGTTCGTACTCAGATTTCTCCTTGAAAATATATAATTACAAAGTGCCGCTCGACAACTCATCAGAAATTAATTATGGAAGCATGAATTCTAACCTTCAGGTATTGTGATAGAGATTCAACTTTCATCTAAATGAATTCGCTCAAACTAAATTACAACTGACACAAAATACAAATTCAACTATAATTGACTCTTTTATAACATGATATCTTGAAAATGTTTTATATGATATCATAAAACAGTGCAAAAATTGTGATAATTCTATATAATACATCCTATTAATAAATTTATTTATCACCAGCCGATTAATAGATTTTATACTCAACATTAATATCGATAACTTATAAATCAACATTTTAACATTCGACTGGCTAAATTCATTGGCTTTTTCCTAAATCTGTTACAGGCGATAGTTAATAATAGTTTTATTTTTTCAAAGTTATTATAATTATTATATTTTCTGATTCTCAAAAATGAATCTTGAAATGAAAGTGAGTATTTTCAGATTATTTGTCATATTCTAATTATTTGTTGGACAACGTGATAATAAAAATGGATATTGATAGTTCGAAGACGGTTATCTGACCTTACTTCTATAATATATTGACTCGGAAAGCGATAATGATACAAATATTGATAATGTGTGTCTTAAGATTTTATTTTATTTCACACATTTCTACGTGACAGTTAAAACTCTTTAAAGAATTCAGACTTAAACTGATTGATTTGTTATATATATTCATTTAATTCACAACCGGTAAGTAATATATTTAACATTTCTTTGATTTGTATTAGTTTTAAGTTTTGCTTAACACAATTTCAGTACACAGTACATAGAACAAATTGACCATGTTACAGGAGAATTGACTATATTAATTCACTCTTTGAATCGTGTATTCCTCATTGACATGATTCCTGAATTGCGAAAGAGAGCGAGACACGCGAGAAACTAAATTCGTGTTTCAAGAAATAGAGATTCTGCATTCGATGAAAGGAGACGTTCGACTTCTATGGTGGCGATAGTAGAAACCAAGCCTGATCAACGGGTTTTGATGAGAAATCACAAGACCTAAGTCTGGCGCTTCGGATTTCTCCGCGGAAATGTAAAGTAGCAGGTACGAGATAGGCAGCGTTTTTTTTTTTTTTTAATTGGTACACGTTCTTTTGATCA